CATTACACAAGCGATAATTACCCGATGACACAAGGTGCCACCATGTGGATGAGGATCACCGTGGAGAGGTCCAAGAAACCGCGTTCAGACAATTGGCCATTATTTATGGCCTGCCTATATTGCGGCCCCTGGCAAAAGCCAGAGTGGAGCTTCAAATAACAAAACATTTCGTCCTGAAAAGGACGTAAAGCAAGTATATTACCAGTAGTGATAACAGGATAATCCTAGTATTTGTTTACCAAACACAAAACTAACACCCGTCTTTTTATATTCCAAAACTTCGCTTCGTCGATACATCAAAATAAAATTAAAAGATTTCCCCCGTCACTCTAAGCTCTACTAAATAACAAAGTATACAACAGCAGAACTAAACACTTTCAGCCAACAACATACGTGCAAAAATATACAAAAAGATTAATTCGTTAATACTCTTTAAAAAAACACAGTATTATCAGCCCTTTTTCCAAGAGCAATAAATCATTGTGTGTTTGCTCTTAAGATCCTACGATCTTTTGTGGATGAACTCCAGCTGAGGATGTCCTTTTGTCAGTTTACAAATGCTGGAAAGACATGTTTGTATAGGACTCTAGGATAAATACTATTTAGATGCGTATGATACTGCACCCCACTTGGTGTATTTATCAAAATTTGACAGGATCTATGTGTCAGCCTCGAGTGCTAAAGGTTCGGGGTTCAATCCCTGGTAAGGGCTAGGATTTTTTTACGTGGACTTAGAATCTTATTATTCCCCCTGGTCTCTGGGTAGTAAGACCGGACGCCTGTGTTCGGGGTTCAATCCCTGGTAAGGGCTAGGATTTTTTTACGTGGACTTAAAATCTTATTATTCCACCTGGTCTCTGGGTAGTAAGACCGGACGCCTGTGTGCATTGTTGCGCTCGTAAAAAAATCCCTTGGCGGTTGGAAATTGAAAAGAGTAGCCTAACGACGCGGTCTGGGCACAATTTTGATTTAAAAATCTACCCAAAGTATGTCAGGATCCCCGCCGGTGCTACAGAGCCAGTGCACCGAGCTAAGCTTCTTTGGACTTAAAATGGAGTTAGAAGAAGAACGGAGTACTTTTGGGTTACTACCAGTGTGCCAGGATGATGGTCCGTTATTCAAACTTAGGGAGTACAATTAGGGAGTACACAAGGGAGCTGAATGGCCCTAGACCACGAGGCAGACCAAGAAGACGATGGAGAGATCATGTCCACAGACCTGCAAACACTAGGTGTCACCAACTGGAAATAGAAGGTCAACCAGAAAGATGAGCGGAGGCGAGTGAAATCTGCAGCATTGAACCAGAAGGGTCGGAATGCTGGGAAAAAAACAAGAAAAATTTGTTGGCTGATTTTGGTTTCATAGGCACATTTATGTTCAGCAGTTTGCCATTGATAACCACTATTGACATCAACACAAAGTGATCTGCTGCCAAATCGCCCGCAGATGGATTCGAGCCAGGTACGAAATGCGTTCGAAATGCCAGAGTTACAGACGCCGACAGTCACTCATTATTACACATTTTTATGCATTATGCTTCTGTACCTTCATCTGTCACATAGGGCTCGCTGTCTATTTCTCCATTCTATTCCTTCCTGAGCAGTCACTTCATTATCAGGGATGTAATGCAGTCTAGCAGCTTTAGCCTTTCTCATCAACGTTCTCCTTAGGGTCTGTCTTGGACGTTCTCTCTCCCCCCCCCACCATCCGCCACTTCCCCCAGCCTCCCCCAGCCCCTTCCCAACAACCCTCACTAGGTACTAGAGTACCGGTCCAAGCCGCAATTCGTACAAAAGAAAACCGACCACAATTATAACCGATACCGCTCGCAGTAGGTTGAACGTTGTCAATTCTTGCGTACAACTGTTCACAAATAAATGGATGATTTTCATATTTCTGTGCCTGTTGAACGATGCTCTGTTATTCTCTTCACAAACGAGTCCGCTATAACGCCATCTTCTCTGTCTTGTAACGACATCGCACTTATTTCTTCACCCCTCTTGGATCGCATTTCTATGTTCATCATTTTTTTCGAATGCATTTAACTATCGGTCCAGATCTTTATGGTTATCACAAATGAATTACACATTATTACAAATAAATAAAACATTATTACAAACGAAAAACACATCATTACAACTGAAATTCACATTATTAAAAAAATGAATAACACCAATTCACACATTAACTACACATTTTTGCAAATAAATAACACGTTATAACAAATAAATTACTCATTGTTATAAATGAATAGCAAATTATTACAAATGAATAGCACACTATTACAAATGAATAACACATTATTTCAAATGAAAAACACATTATTAAAAAATGAATAACTCCAATTCACACATTAATTACACATTATTAAAAATAAATAACACGTTATAACAAAAAAATTACTCATTGTTATAAATGAATAACACGTTATTACAAATGAATAGCACATTATGACAAATAAATAACACATTATTTCAAATGAATAACACAAAATTACAAGTTAATTATAAATTATTTAAAATTACTACAAATTAATAACACGTTTGTACAATATTTTACAAATGAATAACACAATTTTACAAATTAATGACACAAAATTAAAAATGAATAAATAAATTACAAATAAATAACACATTATTACAATATATTGACAAATAAAAAGCACAAAATTACAAAAAACAATTACTCATTTTTACAATATATTACAAATAAATAACACATTACTATAATATATTACAATTAAATAACACATTACAACAATATATTACAAATAAATAACTCAATGATACAATATATTATAATCAATAACACATTATTCCAATATATTACAAATAAATAACACATTATTAAAACACATTACAAATAAATATTTTACATATATAACACATAAATAACACGTCATTACAAATGATTGCCACATTATTACAAATAAATAATGAAAAATGAATAATGAGAAATGAAAAACACATGGATAACACATTATCCAAATATATATTTTAAATATGAGTTACAAGGGTGTGGTATGATGTTGATAACACAATGTGACAAATGAATAACACAAAATGACAAAATTACACATTTTGACAATATATTACTAATGAATAATACAATAATACATATGAATGACACATATATTACTAATTAATAACACATTATGACAACTGAATAATACATTCTTACAAATAAATAACGCATTATGACAAATGATTAACACAATATGACAAATGGATAGTATATCTCCAATTTGAAAATGACGAATGAATAACACAATTTGGCAAATGAATAACACAATATGACAAATGAATAACACAATTTGGCAAATAAATAACACAGTATGACGAATGAATAACATAATATGACAAATGAATAAAACATTATGACAAATGAATAACACAATTTGACAAATGAATAACACAATTTGACAAATCAATAACACAATTTAACAAATAAATAACACATTATGACAAAACTGTTTCGTTGGCTTGAAACTGACCCACCGAGTTCATTCCCCGGATGCACTATTAGCGTGTAAAAAGAAGCTTGGCTTTTCAGTTGGCTTGTTAATTATTCAACCGTTAAAACTCATCGCACGTTGGACGTGCACATAGGCGCCCGGGTCCCATCTTCAGTATCTGCCCCAGCCTGTTGCGACTGATAACACCAGTTCTGTGTTGGTCTACTTTTTTTTTTTTGTTTTTGTTTTTTGTTACCTGTAATTTTTTTTTTCATGTCTTTTTTTATTTTTTATCATCATCATCATCATCATCCCGTAACTCTACGTGCCGTTGGGTCACCAGTTTCTGTTGACTGACTGATCAGCTCTTTCCACCTCTGGCGGTCAGTTGCGATGGACTTCATGATTGCATGCCCGAGGCCTGTCCAGTTGGTCAGGTTCTGTAACCATGTCTTTCTTGGTCTGCCTCTTCTCCTCTTTCCCCCCACTGAGCCCTGCAGTTTTGTTTTCGAGAGGCCGTTAGATCTTATAACATGCACATACTATTGCATTTTTCGCATTTTCATTGTAGTTAAAAGAGATGCATAGTTGCCAATGTGTTGTATAATTTTATGGCGAACCTCTTCGTTTGTAGTGCGTCTCTGTATAATATGCCAAGAATTTTTCTGAAACATCGCAAAATTTAATTACTTATTATTTATCATTACAACTCCCGTCTGTTGCAGATGCGGGAATGGTCAGCGACGGAATGAGAATGTACCCGGACCAGCACAGGACTACTAAGTCAATGTTAAATGTTGAATTAGGAATCAACATCCCAGCATTCGGGACACCCCCCATCTTCAGCAGCAAAAAAGAGTTAAAACTCCGATGGTACCAGTAACTGTTTGATCGTATATCCGTCTCGCCTTTCCCCTGAGTGTCGAGCGTCGACCAGATCCCCTTGTAACTCCTCGCAGCGCCATTCTCCTCAGACCGTAAAGATCTATCAAAGAACTAAGTCAATTGGAAGCAAAGGCGATGACACATCTCCCACCGAGTGCTTTTGGTTCTATAAAATATAGGAAAATATGACCAATACACTTCATAGCGTGGGAAAGGGTAATTTGCGTTTTACTTTTACCGAACCTTTTCCAGGCATTTTTAGTATTACTCGTTTCTATGATTGCCCCCCCCCCCAACCCCTTTTCCCCCACCCCTACACACACAAAAAAAAAGCCTTAAAAGTGTGATAGAAAAAACAGTAATGATGAGGTTATCCTCTTATCTGTCAATATTGTTGTTTATGATCTCAAGACTGTTAGTGCGTGGCATCACTATGCAGACGAACATGGTGATGTCATAATGACACCTGAAAGATGGCCATCGCTCTTCAAACAAACATACCAACAAAAACGGAGCCGCGTTATGTTATTCATTTTTCGATCAGTGAAGTTATGAAACCTATAGAAATTCACGTGTGTAACGCTATTGGCATACCCAACAACAATATATTTGTTTGTTTACATCACTCATTGTTCATCATTACGATTCCTGTCTGTTGCAGATACGGAATGACCATGGGCGCGATGGGCATGTACCCGGACCAGTACGGAGCTATGGCCCGGTCATCTCCGTACGGACCGTACGGTCATCACCCACACCATCCGGTCAAAGAGATGGTCAAGCCTCCGTACTCTTACATTGCCCTGATTGCCATGGCTGTCCAGTCCGGCGCCCGACAAGAAAGTGACACTTAATGGGATTTATCAGTTCATCATGGAGAAGTTTCCGTTCTACAGAGAAAACAAGTAAGTGATACAGTAATTAACATGGCTCCCCGTGTGGGTTACGGGGCTCTACTATGGGGAAAACAAGAACTGACCCACGCTACCCAACAATGTCTGACACCAGTCAACAAAACAACAGCTTCAGCACAATAACGGAGTGGCACCCATGAGAGGCAACCAAGGACAACAGGCGGATCAACAAGCCACAAAAAGATAGAAACGAAAACCGCCCATAAAAAAACGGACTCAACTATAAGGAAGACCCTCAGGTTACTTTGAAGAGTCCCAGTTTTTCATTTTTTTTTTCAACATCAAGTCAAGTCAAGACAGACCCACTGCCTACCCACAAGCATGTCGTAAACACTCAGGTTCTGGAACAGGACTGCAGTCCAGAAGTAGACAAACAACCAGAACTTTCCGCCGGAGTTTAAAACCGGTGAACGAGAAGAAGAAGATTTAACATGGGAAGATGGTGAAAGATCGCATGCAGATCTTCCCTTGATCTCCCTATCTTTCTAACTTCACTCTGTAGCTCAATTCTCTATTTTGTTTTTGTTTTTCTAAGAAGGGCTACAATGCAATTAGCTGTTACAATAGAATAGCAATTTTTTTTGGGTCTTCTTTTATTTTTACGCTCGGCCGGCTTGCTAGCATAGTTGGCTAAACCTGACTTCGTGTCGACCAGGTGACGAACTCCTTGTGGTCCGGGTTCACGCCCGGGGGTAGGCACAAAGTTCATATTTCTTCCAGATTTACGGTATCTATCATGGATTCAAGGCCGAAGGGTTGCGATATTTATAGTACTGAGCCTAAGGGTTAACAACTCATGGCTTCTGGATTTCAAAAAGAAAATTATAATAATTATATGCTCCTGTAGATTGCATAAAATCAGCTCCATTTTATAAAAAGCAATGTTGGGTTGTCCTATTCTAATCGTCATCTCTGCGCTGCATCTTCCATGTGCCTACATATTTAAATGTATGTACTTGTCCTAACATAACACTGTTGACATTTATGATACATTTAGACGTTATTCTTGTTTTTGATAGTACTTTTATTTATGTCTTCCCGTTTTTCAAACCGAGGCCCATTTCATCACTTTCTACCACGGCTGTATTTACTTATCACCGAAGTTCTTTCTGACTGGTGGCTAACGAGACGGTTTTGTCAACATAACGTACGTTGTTTATGTTATGACCTTCGACAACATTTCCTGGTTTGTCCCTGATAGACCCCACTGTACATTCATTGCATAAGGATATCAAATCAGTTACCATCCTTGTGGTTTTCACCTCTTTATGCTGGGCGCCGCGTGAGCACAGTTGATAGTAGGCTCGCTTTCAAATCCAGCTGCGACTCACTGCAGCCACGGTCGGTGTTCGAAACCATGCGGTTCCCGGGGTTCCCCCAGCCTCTAGGAAATGGGTACCAGAGTTGACACTCTGGGGTAAATGGAGGAACGTCGCTGTAGCTACATAGTTACGTGCAAACGGCGACACAGGCTGACAATTCTTATCAGCTGTCAGTACTTCACATCTCCCGACTTTACCTCTTTATGCTTTGAAATGATCACAAACAGTTGTTAATTATTATAGCTGTTGATTGTTGCCATTATGTGTTCTTTAATATTTGTAGATTTTTACCATTTTTTTTTTTTTTAGTAGTTTGATTTTTTACTTACAGTAAAAAAATTACGTTCTTGTTGTTAATGAATCATGAGAACAGATCAGTTTTTGCTTCTACAGTTCATTCTGACACAGTCATTAGGTCGTATTTCGCGTTGATTGTACCTTTTTCTTCTTTCTCTTCTGCCTTTCTAGCCCCCAATGGAGCATGGGCCCTCAACCAACACACACCAAGTCTTTCTATCTTTTGCTATCGCATGTAACTCTCTCATTGTCCTCCCCATTTCTTTAACTGCATTCTCCAGCTCCCTTCTCCATGTGTTTTTTGGCCTTCCTTTATTCCTATGCCCCTGTGGGTTCCAGTGCAAAGACATTCTAGTTGTATTGTTCTCCGGTTTTCTTAATGTCTGTCCTAACCAACGCCAGCGTTTTTTTTTTTTTTTTCCCATCTCTTGGTCCGCTTTAGCTTGCTTAGTTCTCTCCCAAAGCTCTACATTCGTGATTCTGTTTTTCTATTTAATTACCTTTATTTTGCACAGGTAACAATTAATGAAAGTTTGTAGTTTATTAGTAATTGCCTTATTTTTCCAATTTCCCGCTTCATACAAAAGTACTGATTTGACAGTAGAATTAAAAATTTTAAGTTTAGTATTTCCTTTCCTTCCACGAATCCTCTTTGTTGTTTAAAAATGTAAGGTTTAATTTTGTTTCTCATTCGTTTTATATAATTATTCTCAGTAATATTTTTGATAAGGACTAATGTGTGATGATCTCCATATTTTAAAGTTTTATAACATACATTTAATTTTTTTTTTCAAACATGTTACTGGAGACTTTTATGCCTGTATCATAAAATCATCATCATCATGTGCCCTGCCAACTGGCCTAGTAGCTCATGCGTCTTCACAGATCACGATCCCTAGTTACCTGGAACAGCATTCTTGATGATATCATAACATAACATAAAAAAAAATATATGGTTCAATTCTGGGTTTCTGCAAAGTTTATTCCCAGACATATCTGTTAATATATAAAAGGCAGTTTCACAAGATAACCTTGTAAGTGAGATATAAATTACAATAAACCTGAAATTGTTTTATAACCTGTCAAAATTGTTATTAAGGAAGTCATCACGTGACATCACGGTGCAAACGAACAATGTGACGTTATAAGGACTATTTAAAGCTGGTCACTACCCATTTTGACAGGTACCGAAGTTTCGTTAGCGTTTTTTTTTTTTCTTTTTTTTAATCATTGGAAAGGTGAAACATAGAAATTCGCGCGCCTGACACTCTTAACTTCCTAAACAACAAAATCGATATGTTACAATATATTATTGTTGGTATTGTAAGTTCTATAACACACTTTTAATGTTTTTTAAGCTCCCTTGAACAATTATTTGTTTTCTTTCGTATTGTTACAGACGATTCTACAGTCGCCTCAGTTGTAATACTCATTCGTTATATTTTGTATTGTTACAGACGATTCTACAGTCACCTCAGTTGTAATACTCATTCGTTATATTTTGTATTGTTACAGACGATTCTATAGTCACCTCAGTTGTAATACTCATTTGTTATATTTTGTATTGTTACAGACGATTCTACAGTCACCTCATTTGTAATACTCATTTGTTATATTTTGTATTGTTACAAGTGCTACTACAGTCACCTCAGTTGTAATACTAATTTTTGGCGTTTGTATTGTTACAGACTTTCTACAGTCACTTCAGTGTAATACTAGCCATCAGTTCTGATATTGTATTGTTACAGACGATGTTAAAGTCGCCAGCAGTTTGTAATACTCATTTCCCTATATTTTGTATTGTTTACAGACGATTCTACAGTCCACCTCAGTGTACTCCAGTTTCTTCGTTATACATTAGTAATTGTTACAGACGATTTTACAGTCTGACCTCAGTTGTAATCTCATTCGATTCGTATTTTGTCTTGTTACAGAACGATTTTACAGGGGGGGTGGTTGTAATACTCATTTGTTATATTTTGTATTGTTACAGACGATTCTATAGTCACCTCAGTTAAACTAATCCTCATTTCTATATATTTTTATTGTTACAGACTAAATTCTACAGTCACCTCAGTTGTAATCACTTCATTCGTTATATATTTGTATTGTCACAGACGATTTTCATTCATTCAACAGTCACCTCATTCATTCATTCATTTTTCATATTTTGTATTGTTACAGACGATTCTACAGTCACCTTATTTGTAATACTCATTCTTTATATTTAGTATTGTTACAGACGATTCTACAGGCACCTCATTTGTTAGACTCATTTGTTATTTCTTTGAGTATTCCTGCAAGTGCTACTATCGATCTTCTTCTTCTTGTAGTGTTTACCGTGTGGCGTTGGTAGTTTAGTCTTTCCACAACCTTCAGTGGCGTGTTCTAGCAATCAGTTCTGACACAGATGATCTACTTGCCATGATGTCAAACTGTCCAGCAGTCTTTTCTCTTGGTCTCCCTCTGCCTCTCCTCCACGCTTCTTTCAACTTTTCTATCCCCTGCAGTGTACTCCAGTTTCTTCTTTTCATGACATTACTAAACAATTTAGATTTGTTTTCTTCTGACGTGTGTAATCAGTTCTCTTCTGATTCGTTTTCAAGACACATTTTTTACTGGGGAGGGGGGGGGGGGGGGGGGGTGGGTGGGGGCTGTTGTCATTCGTATTTAAACTACATCCCTGCAGATTCTATAGATTTTTTTTTTACCAACTGCCTAAATTTAAACGTATTCATTCATTCATTCATTCATTCATTCATTCATTCATTCATTCATTCATTCATTCATTCATTCATTCATTCATTCATTCATTCATTCATTCATTCACTCATTCATTCATTCATTCATTCATTCATTCATTCATTTACTATCAGATTGTACCATATATATGTCACATAGGGCTCACGGTCTTCCTCCATTTCCTTATATCCTGTCGCCTCCCTAACCCCTTTATTTCCCATTTTATTTCCTCTTGGCTGGTTCTCTACCCGTTTCTTCTCGGGATGTGTCCAATATAGGACCATCTTCTCTGTCTTACAATTGTTGATGCTAGGAGATGCTCAGACATTTCTCTCATTTCTTCACTCCTTTTGAATTCATCCAATTTTTTTGTCCATCATTTTCGTCAGAAATTTGCCTTCGAATCAATTTAACTTTCGTTTCATGTCTTTAGCGGTCTTCAAATTTTACTTCACTACATCAGGATGTTCTTTTTATACAGCTTTTGGGATTTCCCTTTCCCACCTCTGCGTGGTCTCAGGCATGGTGTCCGCCTGGAGTGCTAGGGGTGCCGGGTTCAATCCCCGGTAAGGGCTGGGATTTTATCACGTGGTCTGACCTGGACTTCCAGTAATTCCCCCTGAGCTCTGGGTAGTGAGATCCGACGCCCGTGTGCACTGTTGCGCACGTAAACAAATCCTTTGACAGTTAGAAATCGAAAAGAGTAGCCTAACGGTGCTGCCAGGGCAAAATTTGGAGTTGAAAATTTACACAAAGATTTTAGGATCCTCGCCGGTGTTACAGAGCTTGTGCACTGTGCTGAGCTTCTTCAGACTCGGACTTGAGCTGGAAGAAGAACAGAACACTTATGGGTTACTACCCGTGTACCATGATGTTGATGCCTTGTTCAAACCTCAAACCTCCATTAACAAATAAACATCATACAGAATACTCTTCATCTTGTGAAATCCCACAAGTGCTGGATCTATACTATATTTCAGTTATTCGGTGCATCTTCCATCTGGTGTTATTAGGGTACCCAAGTATTTCCACGTATCATCTTGCTTGAAGATTGTCCTATTTCCTTTTAACATTTTATAGGGCATATTTTCTGTGTAATTACAGCTACATCTATTTGTCTGCTCTTTAAACTAAGATCCCTGTTTTCATTTTCTGCTTCAGTCATGTTCATCATTACTTGCAGTTACTTCATTACTTGCAGTTACTTCATTACTTGCAGTTATTTCATTACTTGCAGTTACTTCATTACTTGCAGTTACTTTCATTACTTGCTGTTATTTCATTACTTGCTGTTATTTCATTACTTGCAGTTACTTCATTATAATGCAGTTACTTGTTACACTGCGTTATTTCAGTACTTGCAGTTATATTCATTACTTTATTTTTTTTTATTTCATTACTTGCAGTTTATTTTTCAATTCTTCTTCTTCTTCACTTCCTCTTTTATACATATTGTGGGTGTCGAGGGAGATATAAGGTTCTGTTTATAGCTATTTTATTGTGAATTTTACCATACCACACCCGTGCTGTTGTAGAGTTTCTAATGATGTTATTATAATTTGTTTGTTGAATTTGATCGTAACTCTACCAATATTCTCATTTCCATGTATGCTTTGTATGGTATGGTGTCACAAGGATATTTTTGCAATTGTAGCAAACCATTTATTATTGCTGTTTCGTATATTAATCCGAATTGTTCTGTGCCGACTTGTTCTCATATGATCTCATATCCTGATCTTATCTTTTATGGTCATTCCTACAGCCCTTCTCAGAAATCTCATTTCCGTTGTTACTAATTTTCTTTTATACGTTTTGTTCCTACAGTGTTAGTACTGGCACTGGTAGCACAGAGTTGGAATAAATTATGCTTTGAATAAGATGTCTATTCTGTGCTGATTGGGATTGTCTTATGCTGTAATAGGGGGGGCTAGCTGTCCCAATACTTGGCTTGCTTTACTGCATCTAATGTTAATTTCTTTATCCAATTTCCCATCTTCGGTAAATGTAGTTCCCCAGATATTTAAACTCCATGCCTGTTTACAACCTTTGCTAAATTATTGCTATGTTTAGATCTGTCTTCTTTTTGATAAAAAACATTACTTATGTCTTTTCAGTGTTGATTCTCATATTATTTCATTACGTGCAGTTATTTCATTACTTGCAGTTACTTTATTACATGCAGTTATATTATCACTTGCAGTTATTTCATTACTTGCAGTTACTTTATTACATGCCGTTGTTTCATTACCTGCAATTTACATCATAGCTACCTCTAAAATAATGATTAATTGTTACACTGTGTGTTTCTGCGGATACTATTGCAACCACTATTATAATATTTTTTTTTTGTAATGTTTCAAATTTCTACGAATAGTTTTAATATTTGGTATTTATAACGATACATATTTTTATATTTTATGTTATATAATTATATATTTATTTATTATTTTATTGTGAATTTTACTGACACCACACCCATGATTTTTCTATTAATAATGATTTATTATAATTTGTGTTGAATTTGATGTAACTTAACCAATATTCTCATTTTCATTATATTGTTATATATTAGATTCATGATATTTTTGCAATTGTACTAATGCTACTATTATTATTTTATTTTACCACTATTATTAAATTATATTGCAATATACACTATTATTGTATATTCTTATATAATGACAGTAACTTTTATGTAATTTATACCTACGGTTGTTACATTGTCACTTCATTTGTAAATATTATTTTATCTACTTTATTCCCACGGATGTTAGTACTGTCACTACTATTCTGACAATAATTTGTTTGTAGTTTCCTTGGTAATATTGTAACATTTTTTATACATAAATATTATTATGTAGTTTATTCCCATGGATGTTGATATTATCTGTTCTATTTTGTTTTAAAAACAACCACGCCGCATCATCATGGAGGACACAGTCACCTATCTCCTCACCAACATCCTTCACATCGCGATGGTCTCAACTCCGGCGTCTTTTCCGCAATCTCACAACACAAGGATTTTACCTACCCTCCATCCAACGGCTGGTACATGAACCCTTCTTCTTCCATGGATTTAAACCCTGGACGCACAGACTTCGGCTCTTTTCCGGGGATGAGCATGAGAGACATGTTTCAAAGCTCTACCAGCTGTCAGCTTGCGGCATTTCGGACCCCACCTTCAAAAGCCCAACCATCGTCCTATTACGATTGTTCGAAATACTAACGAAACATTTGCACTGTTTAAACTGATATACAAGGACATCGAAAATGATTGTTGGAATTTGAATGTTGTGAATGAAGTATTTAAATGATATACACGAGTGCTAGCTTTAAATGATGAGAATAGTATATAGTTGTATGTTTACCTTGATACAGCATAGAGTGGGTACCAAGTACAGTCCTGGGAAGTAAAGGCGGCCTGTGTGATGCTGACCACATCACCCACCAAGTGCCGTTTGGTTTATAAAATATAGGCCTAGTCCTATAAACCCAATACGGCTGAAAGCCGTGGAAACGGGTTCTTTACTTTACTGTTATTTGGTATACTTCGATATGGGCACCAATTGTATCTCTGGTACCCCTTGTGGGTTCCAAGGCTCCATTGTAGGGAAAACAAGAATAAACCCACAGGGTTCCCAAAATATGTCATGGGAGTCGACTAATTTGGGGCTTCCTTCGAAGTCGGGCTGTATCTGCCCGAGAGGCAAGGAACAACCAGCTGCACACGAATAAGCCAGTAAAACTGATCTACACGCAAAACTCAGGCCCTGGCACAAAGCCAAAGTCCAAATGGACGAACAACCAGAACTTTCCACCGGAGCTTACAGCCAGTGAACAAAGATGGAGAAGTTGTAGCTATGGTGATGTCTAGATAGTATCCTGTCTCCTGCCACGTCTGCTGCATCGTGTCCAGAGTTAGCAGTTGGAACCGCATTCTCCTTAGGAAGCTGGTTGCTCCGTTCCTTCTCATCGACATTTGGAGCCTCACGGCCACACGCAAGGTCACACGCAAGGTCACCATACGTTCATAGAAGAGTAGAACCCTAATGAACGCGAGATGCGCCATTTTCTGTCCGTCTTTACTACCCCTTAGGCCTCTGATGCTTAACCCAATGGGAGAGACAGAGTTAAGCTTTTCTGAACATTTAAAGACGTCACATATATATATCCGTTAAGTTCTTCTTTTATCATAATTCAAAATCTCAGCACTCAGTCTCTAGGACCATCTATGTCAAACCGTTTGTTTCTAGCACGTACATGACTCTTTGTGTAATAACTCTTATAAACATAAACTATTTCCTGAACTAAATACTCATTTGTTGCGTTTGCTTTACGGCGAAGATCAGCTGGCTCAGCAGATAAGAAAGAACAACGGATTCTCAAACGGGAGACTAGGATTCGAATACTGGGTAAGGTTGAGAATTTGTTCTTTTGTGGGGGAAAATAAAATTCTAAACTGCAAAGTTCGTGGCGATAGCACTAGCCATGTGGCCTTAAATCCTTGGGGGTAAAGAACACCCCGGCCCCCCCCCCCCCCCCACAACCCCATCCCCACAACCCCATCCCCACATACACAAACACAGACACATTTTGCCTACATCGCAAAAGTGGAAATTGCAGGCAGTTGGCAGTTATTGGCAGTTTTTGTTTGCTTTAAATACTCTACAGAACAGTCTTGATAGCAACAAGTCAGAAAGAACTACAGGAAATGATAGACGTTGCTCTAGTAGAAAGTGGAAGAATAAACCTCAGTTTAAATAATGGGAAGACAGAAGTAATGGTGGTATCAAAGAAAATAATTATTCCTAAATGTGTAATAAAAGTCAATGGTTTTATTTTGGGACAAGTACAGAAATTTAAGTATCTGGGCACATGGATAACATCAGATGGAAGATGCAATACTGAGATAAGAAACAGAAAAATACAGGCAAAAACTGCATTTTATAAAATGAAGAAAATCTTATGCAATATATCTTTATAATTGAGAGTTAGAAAAATAATTCTTGCTCGCTACATACATCCGGTTTTAACATATGGCTTCGAATCCTGGACAATCAGTAGGCAGGCCAAACAATTTCTTGAGGCCTCAGAGATGTGGTTTTCAGAAGCGTGCTCAAAATACCTTGAACAGCCAAAAAGAGCAACCAAGATGTTTTGAAAGAGGCCGGGGCCCGAAGACAACTTATCACAGACATCAGAAGAAGACAGTCATCATTTTTCGGCCATGTTATGAGAAGAGGGAAAACAGAACATGTTGTGACCACTGGAAAGATATGTGGAAGGACGGATAGAGAAATTCAACGAGAGAAGATTCTTGACAGTCTTGTTGCATGACATGGAGGTGTGTCGACGCACGAACTAATAATAATGCTGCAGGAGATGGCGGATTGGCACCTGATGATGATGACAGCATCGATATTCAGATCAGTTAATTTAGGCGCCTAACTGCTGAAAATGGTGATCGTCACGAGCTAGAGGCCCCTAAATCAGCGTAAAAAAGTATTCACAACATTCAACTGGTAATGATTCGCGGAACACTGGCAAAGCCTGTGCGGGCCGGATTAGATCCGCAGGTCGCCAGTTGAAGAACTCTGATTTCTAGAATGATACAAAACAATTCCCATTCAGAAAGATTCCCAACATGTTACAAAATCCATCATTGTCAATCCCCATTTTTATAGCTGTTTATTGTTTTATTTAGTAATTGTTACGTTCACTAGTTTGCCATTCTTTACTAAAAGTCGGTTTCCCATACTATATCACAAAGCTGTCAAAGCCCCGCAGCACGAACCACACCCGGCATATCGGAGTTAAACATCACGTTCGCAACCCCTATGCCATAGATGCCGACAGTGATTGGCACTGCTACAAAAATGAAATAAGATAAATTTGTTGTGTATCCTTGACAGGACATTGCAGAACCAACACCAACATTTGTTGGCTGTTGTGGGTTTTCTAGGCAAAGTTACGTCCAACAGTTTGCCGTTGTTCTAAAAGGTCACCTCCCGGTAACACTGTAGAATCCAACGCAAGACGGTCTGCTGCAGCATCGAGCCCGGCACCCTGGCATTACGAAGCACGTTTGCAGACGTTGACACTCGCACAAAAAGACAAAAAAATATTTATTAGAGAGTACACGTGTTACGTCGGCGTCTGTGGCTTCGTTATGCCAGTTCGACCCCATCTGCGGGCCTTGCGTCTTGCGTTTGTCTCGACAGTGGTACCGAGATCTGACCATCTAGAAAACAATGGCAAACTACTGGACGTAAATTTGCCTAGAAAACCAAAACATGCTTGGTTTGGTTCTCTAATGTCCTGTCAAGGATACGCAACTAACACTTGATATAACATAATTATAATCTACTGGAACAGATCAACGGACATTTGAAAGAAGTGGCGTAGAAATCCTTGGTAAAAGAGAATGTGAACAAAATAACAAAATAAACATAGGCTACACATCTGTAGACAATACACAGTAGATCATCATTGATTATAGCAAGGCATTTGATTGTGTCCAACATCTTCGATTGTGGACTATTCTGAGGAGTAAGGTGTTTCCAGCATATTTGGTGCATTTAATTGACAATTTATATCATGAACAACAATCAGCCACCAGAGCAGCTGGTGAAATATCGCACTGCTTCCACGTTAAAAAGGTAGCGAGGCATGAGTGCATTCTATTACCATACTTATATACAATATATATGCAGAAAACCTAATGACAAATCAAAAGCAATGTTTCCCCTTTGTAAATTTAAATAAAGAAGACACAAACAATAGAATGCACAATTTATTGCCTGGCATATTTTGCTGTATCTCATCAGGTGTATAATACATAAGTAATTACACAAATTAAGCAAGTATGTGAATCCTTTATAACGGAAGTATAAATTCAACAACAATCAATAATGATAATAATAATATGGAGCTTCTTCTCGGGCACCTTGAGTTCTGTCTTGCCGAGAAGTATCACCTCAAATAAACCGAAACAAGCCATAATAGCAATGTCTGAAATGATCAGGCAATGTTACATTTCTTAAACACCCCAGGGAGAAAGCAGGAGAACAGATTTTCAGTAGAAGTCAGACGCGACGAATGTCAACAAGGTCTAAGTAATTAACAGAGACTGACAAAAGAAACAGAATTTCAGATGTATACAGTTCTTTTGCAAGTGGACTCACCGTCCAACGATAACATCTTCTTTGTCTCCTTTCTCAGTACCATCCTATGGGACTTCAACTCTTTTCGTGAAGATAGGAAGGTTTGAGATTTTGGGGTTTTGAACAACGGATCAACATCATTTCACACGGATGTAACCCATAAGTGCTCCGTTCTTCTTCTACCGCGAGTCCGATAAACTCAGCACAATGCACAGGCTCTGTAGCACTGTCGAGGATTATTAAATACTTTGGGTAGATTTTTAACTCCAAGTTATGCCCGGACAGCGCAGTTAGGCTACTCTTTTCTATTTCCAACTGCCATGGGATTTTTTACGTGCGCAACAATGCACACGCCCTGCCTCAAGACCACACTGTCTCCTAGAGAGGAAGGTAAACTGGGGTTTAATTTTCTTTTATTTCATCTAATTGTTTTTGTATTTGTGTATATTTTTCATAGGTAGCAAACACTTTAGTTTAGATAACTCCATAAAAAATATAATATTCCAGTAACAACGTTGTTTATTTATATTTTATTTTTAATGATAACGGAATAATTAGCTGCATCCTTGGTTTAGGCGTTGCGAGTCCGACTCGTAATTCCAATGTACTGCGATCAAAACCCACTAGTGGCTGTGTAAACTTGTATCATGGTATGGGGCGTCGCAGGTCGACACAGCCTAAAATGGGTGCCACATTAAATACCCAGTTCCGACTCATCAATCAGCAAGTCTATTACAGAACGTCGCTCTCGTCACGGCACGCTTGAAAGTATCCCTTTCCCTAGTCAGCTCTCCAGCCCCATGTGCTTTCAACGCTAATGCATCTTCAATGTCTTGTATCCATCTTCGCGGTGGTCGACCCCTGCCTCGCCTTCCACAAACTGCACCTTCCATCAACGTATTTTCCAAGCCACAATGACGCTTGATGTGGTCAAAATACTTCAACTTTCGGGACAGGATGCTGTTTATGAGCCAGTTCTCCTTGATGTTCAACTCGTTCAGAATGTCGATGTTTTCCTTTTACCGATCCATGGTATTCTAAGAACTTTTCTATATCATTTCAA